GTGGTGCTGTGGCTCAAGTGGTAGAGGGCTAGCCTTGAGCTGAAGAGCTGAGGGACAGTGCCCAGGCCCAGAGTTCAGGACCACAACTGGACCCCACCCCTCAAAAAAAACCCACAAAAACAAACAAAAAATATTTAAGGGGGCTGGGAAGGTGGCTCAGTGGTAGAGCGTTTGCCTTGCATGCATGAGGCCCTGGGTTAGATTCCTCAGCACCACATAAGCAAAAAGAAAAAAAAAGGCTGGAAGTGGCGCTGTGGCTCAAATGGTAGAGCGCTAGCCTTGAGCTGAAGAGCTGAGGGACAGCACCCAGGCCCAGAGTTCGGGCCCCCAAAAAATAAAAAATAAAAATATTTAAGGGCAGCTAGATGCTGGTGGCTCATGTCTATAATCCTAGCTATTAAGGAGGCTGAGATCTGAGGATCACAGGAATGGGCAGGAATGTCCCTGAGACTTATTTCCAATAAACCACCAGAAAACCGGAAGTGGCACTGTGGCTCAAGTGGTAGAACAATAGCCTTGAGCTGAAGAGCTAAGGAAAAGTGCCCAGGCCCAGAGTTCAAGCCCCACGATTATAATAATAATAATAATAAATAATAATAATTTAAGGGCCTGTTGGCTTACTTATACTGTCTATACGACTATACTATCTCAGGCAATGAGGATTTATCTGGTAAGTAGTACCCCTTTGGGCTCCCCTATATAAAAGTTTTACCCCCATCTCTTCCTAACTTTCTTCTTGAAGAAGGGAGTTAAGAGAAGAAAAGAGAAAGGGAGAATGGATAAAGAGAAGAAAGGAGGTGAAAAAAAATCCACCAGATATCATTCTCTATATTTTGGGGCATCTTTGCTTTAAAGTTTTAAAGATATTTTTTTATGCCCTCACCATTTTCAATTAACATAAAAATGACAGTTGAAAGACAGTGGTGCTAGTTGGAAATGGGTATGGCTCAAATGGCAGAGTTCTAGTCCTGTGTAAAAAAAAGCCAGGCACTAGTGTCTCACACATAATCCTAGTTACTCAGGGGGCTGAAAGCCAGCCTAGGGCAGGAAAGTGAGACTTCATTTCCACTAAACTACCAAAAAAAGCCAGAAGTGGAGCTGTGGCTCAAGTGGTAGAGCACTAACCTTGAACAAAAGAAGCTCAGAGACAGAATAAGTTCAAACCCAGGACTGGGGCGCACGCACATGCGCGCGCGCACACGCGCACAAACACACACACACACTCAGGAAAGAGCACAACATCCTGAGTTCAAGGCCCAATACTGACAGGCATACATATATACACATAACACATTTAAATCAGTATGGTTATGCATGCCTATAATCCTAGCACTTGGGAAGTTGAGGAAGGAGGACTAAAGAATTTGAGACTACTCAACTTTTGGGAGGGAGGGAGGGAGAGAAGGGGAGGTAATAGGGCAGACTGCCAAACAGAGATGAGAAGATACCTGAACATTTATAAAAGATTATTAGCATCTTTATTGTTGAATATTGCACTTTCTGTTCTAAGTCCCTCTTAAACAGTTTTTGACCCTGACAGTAAAACACAAAGGACCGCTTCCATCCCCAAGGCAGATGGCATGGTTTTCACTATAGCAGCAGTGATAGGTGCTCAGCCAATGCCCTATTTGTCTCACTTCCTTCAGAGATCAGCTCTTAGGTGGGTACTGGCAAGCAGCCAGGTCAAAAGACAGGCTAGGGTATATAGCTCAGTAGTAAATTGAATTCAATCCCAAGGGTAAGTAGCATAAAGACACATACAAGACATACAGAACACATATGGGATGGTGCTCATAATCTTGGCCAGTACTACGTTCTAACTAGCTGAACCACCTAGCATGTGCTCCTATCACTTTGTTTGGAAGATAAGGAAACATTCTGATTCTATACCTGAGACCAGACCCTGGATACCAACAAGGGTCAGAGTAATCAGTAACCATCTACCTGCTGTGCATAAGAGAGGCCTCCCATGGCACTCTGCGTCCGACCTTGCATGGTCATTGGGTACCGCTGTGGTGTTTGGGACCCATATGGCTGCCCTGGGTACCCATGTCCTTGCTGTGGTCCTGACAGAGGTCCCTGTTGTTGTGAGTATGGGTTAGTCCCGCCATATGGCTGAGGTCTCATCTTGCCCATCTGATCCATTGGACTGGATGGCTACAAAATAAAGAGCATTTCATTAACCTTAAGCTTTGATGGCCTCTGGCCAACGTGAACATACAACCCAAGCACATATCTTTTGAAGTCTCTATGCAACATAGGAAACAGTTTCTATGAAAAAGCAACAGACCCAATAACCCTTAAGTAAATTATTTAACTCTCCTAAGGATTTTGATTTTGTCATGTATAAAAGGAAAATACCATCTGAAAGATCTAAAAAGTTACTTTGTAAGTATGGTACTACTAAAGATTCAATGGAAAAGTCAGGAGTAGAGCAATTAGTATATGCACTCTTTAGTACAGAACAGAACAAAGGCTTTTCACTTGGAGAGGACAGTGCTGGTATGCATTAAAAATAACCTTGTTAGCCACGCGCCAGTGGCTCATGCCTATAATCCTAGCTACTCAGGAGGCTGAGATATGAGGATCAAGGTTCAAAGCCAGCCAGGCAGAAAAGTCCATGAAACTCTTATCTCCAATAAACCACTCAGAAAACTGGAAGTGGGGCTGTGGCTCAAGTGGTAGAATGCTCACCTTGAGCTGAAGAGCTGAGGACAGCACCCAGACCCAGATTTCAAGCCCCACGACCAACAAAAACTAAATAACCTTGTTCAACAACATTAAACTGATGCTTCAATACTATGATTGAGAGTAGGACATATAAGCATCCAGGTATTTCTATTCTTCTATTAGTGGACACATTTCCTTTGCACATTTGTAGCCTGTTTGCACTATGGCACAAAATGTTATTAAATTTATGCTTTCTCCAAGGAACAACATGGCCAAGTAATAGTGATTGAAAGAAAAGTAAATTAAAGCCGGGCGCCGGTGGTTCACGCCTGTAATCCTAGCTACTCAGGAGGCTGAGATCTGAGAATCGCGGTTCAAAGCCAGCCCGGGCAGGAAAGACCATGAGACTCCTATCTCCAATAAACCACTAGAAAACCGGAAGTGCGCTGTAGCTCAAGTGGTAGAGCACTCGCCTTGAGCTGAAGAGCTGAGGGACAGCGTCCAGGCCCAGAGTTCAAGCCCCATGACCGACAAAAAAAAAAAAAAAAAAGTAAATTAATTTAGATTTTTGTAAAGCTTAAGTGAAAAGGTGGTTTCTTTTAGTATTTAAGAATCTGAGCTGGGCACAAGTGGCTCATGCCTATAATCCTAATTACTCAGGAGGCTGAGATCTGTGCATCATGGTTCAAAGCTAGCCTGAGCAAAAAAGTCCCCATGAGACTCTTACCTCCTATTAACCATTCAAAAATCAGAAGTGCTGTGGCTCTAAGTGGTAGAATACTAGCCTTGAGCACAAAGAGATTCAAGGACAGAGCCCAGGCCCTTAGTTCAAGCCTCACAACTGACAAAAAAAAGTCGGGCGACGATGGCTCACACCTGTAATCCTAGCTACTCACGAGGCTGAGATCTGAGGATCGAAGTTCAAAGCCACTCCTGGCAGGAAAGTCTGTGAGACTCTTCTCTCCAATAAACCAACCAGAAAACCATTAGTGGGGCTGTAGCTCAAGTGGTAGAGCCCTAACCTTGAGCTGAAGAGCAGCATTCAGGCCCAGAGTTCAAGCCCCATGACTTAGGGGGGAGGGGGGAGATAAAAGGATAGAACTTGTGGCTGGGAAGGTGGCTCAGTGGTAGAGCACTTGCCTTACATGCATGAGGCCCTGGGTTCAATTCCTCAGCACCACATAAGCAAAAAGAAAAAAGCCAGAAGTGGCGCAGTGGCTCAAGTGGTAGAGGGCTAGCCTTGAGCTGAAGAGCTGAGGGACAGTGCCCAGGCCCCACGACCAGACCCCCCCCCAAAAAAAAAGGATAGAACTTGCCAGGCACCGATGGCTCATGCCTGTAATCCTAGCTACTCAAGAGGCTGAGATCTGAGGATCATGGTTCAAAGCCAGCCCAGGTAGGAATGTCTGTGAGACTCTTATCTCTAATAACCCACTAGAAAACCAGAAGTGGTGCTGTGGCTCAGGCAATAGAGCGTTCACCATGAGCTGAAGAGCGTAGGGACAGCGCCCAAGCCCAGAGTTCAAGCCCCACAACCAACCAAAAAAAAAAAGATAGAACTTTTGTTTCTTTAAAGAGTAAGTTACAGGAGAGCAATCAAGAAGAGGATTAGTCTGATGAAATATAGAATATACACAGGTCTGAAATATGTTGAAACTCCTTGGTGCAGTAAATACGTATTTTTAAAAAAATGAATGACAGGAAAGCAAAAGAGGCTCTCCTGGGAAGAGAAACTGTAGGAGGGTTAAAGAAGAGGGTGAATGAAGATGAGTGTGTTCAAAGCAGTCTGCTGCATACATGTGAATATAGAACAAGGAAATCTTTCAAAATTATTTTAGGGAGACAAGGGATAAAGGACAGTGATAGCAATGAAGTTGGTCAGGATATATTGTATACATGTGTGAAATGTTACAATGACACACTCCTTCTAGAAACTAATGTTGAAAAGCTAGCACCAACACTAAACTCAAAAGTTCCAATCATGGGTACTTATCTTCAACTATGACTTCCAGCCTTTTTTCTTTCAAACTGTAAATGTGGTGACAGCACTGGGGCTTGAACTCAGTGCCTGAGTACTGTCCCTGAGCTGTCTTGCTCAAGACTGGTGCTCTATCACTTGAGTCACAGCCCCACTTCTGACCTTCTACTGGTTAATTGGAGATAGGAGTCTCTTATACTTCTAGGCCAGCTTTGCACTGTGACCCTTACATATCAGCCTCCTGAGTAACTAGGAATATAGGTATGAGCCACCTACAGCTGGCATATCTGTCTTAAAGCTGGGCACCAGTGGCTCATGCCTAGCTACTCAGGAGGCTGAGATCTGAGGATCATGGTTCAAAGCCAGCCCAGGCAGCAGCAAAGTCTGTGAGACTCATATCACCACTAAACTAACAAAAAGGAGAGAACAGGAAATGAAAAGGGAAAGGAGGGGAAAGAAGGGGAAAGGAGAGGAAAGGAGCAAGCTGTGGCTCAAGTGGTAGAGCACTAGGCTTGAGCAGCACACAAGCCCTGAGGTCAAGCCCTAGCATCAGCACACAAGCACACAAAAGAACACTGTTTGATAATAGAGGAAATGAAGTAGAGTGTTTACAAAGGGAAAATGAACAAGATGATCATTTATAAAGGCTGTTCTAAATATCGAGAACAAAAAGGTAGAAGCAGAGTTCTCTCAAGCTAATTTGAAATTTCAGCTAAAAAGTGTTGATGGGAGTACTACCCTCCCAGACTAGAAAATCTCAATAAAGCCATGTCCCAAATCACTACTAAATGTTAAGTGTTATTAAAGGGCTGTTCTCAACAATCCTAACAATATCCATCCAAGTCCTGCATCTATGTTAGGTGATCCAATAACATTCCCAATCATAATTTGAGCTTACTTGGATTCTTTTGGGACTATTTAGGAACTTCAAATTTAACAACAACAGACTAGTGAGTAATAAATATCATGTGCTCTTCTCCAATACAGCTGGCAACAGAACTAAAATACCCCCATTCTCTCCTGTAAAGAGCCATACCATGCCACATATCACACTGAGGACCTCATCTCAGCCCAGATTGCAGCTGTCATCTCTGCTGTCCCCAAGTGAAGGGACAACATTTGCTGGACAGATATCAACCTGCTTTGGGTATTTGTCAATCTAGGTCTCTCCACAACATGAATGACAGTCATTACTATAGTTACCTTTGAGCTTCTAGAGAAGTAGCTATTTAACCAATGAAGCAGATTGGAATTTTTTGTGAAGCTTAACAAATGCCTAAGTTTCTCAATACAGATTCCAATTTAATGTGTCTGGAAAAATTCAGACTTCTCCCTGGATCATCTTTTAAGGTCCTTGAAGTGCTTTTAAGCTAGGAATCATTGATACAGCAACTTTATTGAGGCAAATTCAATAAAATTTTCTGCAGTGTGTGATTATTAAGTATTTACAGTACGAAGTATAACTAAGGAACTGAATTGTTTTTTCAATTTACTCTGTGTGTATGCACACACACATGCTGGTCCTGAGGCTTGAACTCCAGGTTTGGGCACTATCTCTGAGCTTTATCACTCATAGTTGGTGCTACAGCCCCACTTCCAGCTTTTTGCTAGTTAAGTGGAGATAAGAATCTCATATAGACTTTCCTGCCCAGGCTGGCTTTGAACCTTAACCCTCAGATCTCAGCCTCCCAAGTAGCTAGGATTACAGGTGTCAGCCACCGGTGATAGGCTGTCTGTTTTTTGTTTTTGTTTTTTTTTGGGGGGGGTCCAGTTGTGGGGCCTGAACTCTGGGCCTGGGCACTGTCCCTCAGCTCTTCAGCTCAAGGCGAGCACTCTATCACTTGAGCCACAGCGCCACTTCCGGCTTTTTTCTTTTTGCTTATGTGGTGCTAAGGAATCGAACCCAGGGCCTCAGGCATGCAAGGCAAGCGCTCTACCACTGAGCCACCTTCCCAGCCCCTGTCTGTTTTTTTTTAAAGCACGGTTTTACTACATAGCCCAAGCTGCTTATCCTTTAACTCCCAACCCTCCGGCTTTAGCCTCCCTAGTACTGACCTTATGGGTATGTATCTCACCTGCTATTTTACATAGATAGATAGATAGATAGATAGATAGATAGATAGATAGATAGATAGATAGATAGATAGATAGATAGATAGATAGATAGATAGATAGATAATAGACAGACAGATAGATAATAGATAGACAGACAGATAAATAGACAGACAGTCTGTACTGGGACTTAAGCTCAGAACCTTATGCTCTTGCTAGGCTTTTTCATTCAAAGCTGGTGCTCTACCACTTGAAACAACCCTAAATCTGCCATTCTACTGATTATTTGGAGAAAATAGGTGTGACCCACCTGCCAAGTTTGCTTTTGTAATTAAAATTTACAAAATAAACTAAGGCTCTTTAACTTGTAGCTAGTCATTATCATACTGATAGTACAGTGCTAGAGCAATATACAAATGTTTTCTCTCACTCTCAGCTCAATAACAGTTCCAAACTT